GGAAGAATGGAATGGTGAGCTAGAAATTGGTGCTGATGTGAAATAGGGTCAGATATTACATGTGCATGACAATCAATTTTATATCAGTTCTTCTCTTTCCACCCCCACTGACAAATGCTTCTGATTAATTTCCATGGCTAATTTTTTTTGAATAGATCATTGGTCTGCTGCAGGAGGCCTGAGCAGTGCCAATATGCATCAGCATGGCTGAACATGAGACTCTCCCACTCTTCCCATGTGCCATAGACACATTGGAGGAATTATAATTTGATAGTCAACCTGTTTACCTATGAAATGAACACACTTTCTATAGCCATCGAATCCTGGAGTGCGACTTCAATTTGGAGCATCTAACTCAGAGGAGAACACTACCACTGTGCCATAGGACTTCCTTATCTTATATCCAAGCAGAGAATAAAAGCTTAACTAAATCTTTTTTATGACAAGAGATTGTTTTGTTTCAGAAGTGAGAAATTTGAAGTTTTAGACTAAGCAATCCGGCAACATCTTAAAGCCTTTTCTCTCAGAAAATTCCAGCAGTTAATTGCAGCAAAGATATGTTAACCAATATTTCTTTCCCTACAGATGTTACTTGAACTGTTTGGAGTCGTTCTACCATAAAAAAGTGCAAATTGTCCAGTCACAAATGAAAATGCGAATGTCTTCTGGAATGTTTTCATCAATTGGAACAGGATAACTTTTATGCATCATTCCTTGCTCTCCTGGAGACAACATCAGACTTACACCAGAAATAGTTGCCCTCCACTACATTTAATAACATCATCATTTTTCATATCCAAATCTAACGCGGATATATAAGTAAGTCTAAACAGTCTGTACTTAAAAATGGAAAGGCAAAATGTACATCTTAACTTACAGAAAGTTGTTACGATAATGAAGTAAAGGAAACCAAACGCAATTCAACCATCAAACATTGCTAATGAATTTATATTGTTCAAAAATTCAGATATTCACTTGCATAAGACATCACCTTTAAACAAATGTGAATTTTTGTCTACCTTGTGAGTACTTTATTCTTGATTCAAATGTCTAATTTAGCAATAAATTATGAGTTTATATTGTGAACCAAAATGCATTTGTCTAAACCTGGAATCATTTCACTGCACTGCAAAAGTAATTCTTATTTGCCTTTACTTTTTAGAAAGCAAAGATTGTAGTAAAGAGAGTTTTGTAATTGTCTGCAAATTTTTATGACAATTCTGGCCCAGTTCTTAAATTGGAGAAAGGTTATTCCCAGATGAAAGCATGTAGATTAACACTCCCCTCGAGCTTCTTACAGGAAAAAAAATTCCTGTCACAAAGTAGGTCAGGTTCTGCCAAGCACAACTAATATGTGACAGGTTTGCAGATTTCTATTCATATGTGGGTCTCTGAACACTACTTCTAGTAAAGATATCCCGAACACAAATTAGCCTGTGAGACAAGAAAGCAATCAATCAACCTGTAGAAATAAAGTGGAGAAAATCAATTATGTTGACTTTTTAACAAATCATTTGGAAAATCTGTTCAGAGGTGGAGCATTTCATTGTGTGGAAATATGAAGGCGGGGACTATCACACATCAGTGATGTTGCAATGAATTGTGTTACAATCTGTACAGTCACATTTCAGAAACAAAATGTCTCCACTTATTGCATTACTGGATTAGCTACTTCTTACATGATTGGAAACACTATAAAGTTAAAGTACTGGGTTCAATTTCTTCCTGATTACAAACTAGATTTGTGTGTCCTGTGATTTCGACTTTCTATGTCACTATCCAAACAATTAATAAATAATGTGAATAATTCAGACCCTAACACAGATCCTTGAGGGACACCACTGGTCATATCCTGCCAATTTGAGTACCTACACATTATCTCCACTCTCTATTTCCTGCCACTCAACAAATTTCCCAAAAAATACCTGTAATTTAATATTAATTCCGTGGGCCTCTACCTTAGTTAAAAGTCTCTTATCAAATGCCTTCAGGAAGTTCATATAATAAGATCCACAGATATTCCCCTGTCTGCTACTTTAATCACCTCTTCAAAAAATTCAATGAGGTTTGTCAGGCATGATCTACCTGTCACAAATCCATGCTGGTTCTCCATGATTAACTGAACATTTTCAAGGTGTTCAGTTACTCCATCAATGATTACAGACTCCAACAATTACCCCACCTTAGATGTTGGGCTAACCGATCTGTAATTCCCTAGTTTTCCTCTTTAGCCCTTCTTGAAAAACATAGTGATATGTGCAATTTTTTAAATCCAGTATCTAGGGAACCCTGAAAGATTATAGTTACACCTACACTCGGCTCCCCTACTTCCTTTTATTAACTTGCATCTTTGTTTCAGATTAACTTCCGTCTGAAGGATGCTGACAGCCAACTGCAATGTATCAACAGCAATCAAACTTACGGCAGCTAACTCAGCTCAAACAAAAGAAAACAAATCTAGCCTTAATAGTATACAGCATTTTCTTAAATGGCAGGTTCAACTCTTTATTTAGAATATACAATAAACTACAAGAAGGTGGAAGCAGTAAAACGGAAAGATCAGAGTAAATAGTACCTTTACGTTAGTGGCTAAAATGGTCACAAAAAAAAAAATCAGTATCTTAGCCGAACAAAAACAGAAATTGCTAGAGCAAATCACCACATTTGACAGCATCAATGGAGAGAGAAACAGAGTTAACATCTCGAGTCCGATGACCCTTCTTCAGTTTTCCTCTCAACCATCTCTTCTCCAAGTAAAGGGTGGAGGCACTGAATATGGCATAGGCTAACGGTCCTATGAATCGACCAATAGTACTGAAGATGTGTGTCCCAGACCGGCCATGCCCTATCCAAGCTGTTTCAGTACAGCTACAACACTGGCATCCACCCAACAATATGGAAAATTACCAGGCATGTTATGAACACAAACAGCAGGATAAATCCAACCCTGCCAATAATTTCCCATCAATCTAATCTCAATTATCAGTAAAGTGATGGAAGGAGTCATCAATAGTGCTATTAAGCAGCATTTTCTTGGCAATAACCTGCTCATGGATGCTCAGTTTGGGTTCTCTCAAGGCGACTCAGCTCCTAATGTCATTATAGCTCTGGTTCACAAACATGGACTAAAGGAGATGAACTCCAAAGGCAAGGTAAGAGAGACTGCCCTCGATAGCAAGGCCACATTTGATCGGGTTTGGCGTCAAGGCGCTCTGGTAAAGTCAATAGGTGTTAGGGCCAAAACTCTCCACTGAAGTCATACCTAGCACAAAAGGAAGATGATTGAAAGTCAGTTACCTCATAGAAACATAGAAAATAGTAGCGGAAGTAGACCTTTTGTCCTTCTGCTGACTCCATCATTCCAATTGATCATTGTTGGTCATGTAACTCAGTACCCTGTTCCCACTTTCTCTCTATATCCTTTGATATACTTAGTCCTAAAAACTATATCTAACTCCTTCTTAAAAACATTCAATGTTTTGACTTCAACTGCTTTCTGTGGCAGAAAACTGCACAACCTCATCATTTTCTGGGTGAAGAAACTTCTCATATCAATCTTAAATGGCCTACCCCATACCCTTGAATTAGGACCCCTGGTTCTAGAATCTCCAGTAATCAGGAACATACTTCCTGTGTTTACCCTGTCTATTCCTTTTAAACTCACTATAACTACCATCTAGAAGTTCAAGATAACAGATACATGGGAACAAGCCACTCACCATCCTGACTTGGAAACATATCATTATTGCTAGGTCAAAATCCAGGAACGCCCTTCCTAATGGCACTGTTACCTACATACATCAAATGAACAGGAGTTGTAAAAGAAGGCAGCTCACCAGCAACTTCTCAAGGGCAACTAGTGATGGGCAATAAACGTTGGCCCAGCCAGCAAAGCCCACATCACCCACTCAGTTTCCTGTAACTCAGCCAGTTTGGTCTATGTGTTGCTACTATCCTTATCAATCAACGAACAATAATTCTGATCACAAGTCTGTTCTGGGCACTACAGCAAATGCCTTTTATATATTCACACGCACCACCTCAGCAGTATTATCCTCATCAACCCTCTGTTAATTTCACCAAGTCAGTTAAACACGGCTTTCCTTAAACAAATCCATGCTGGTTTTTTAAAGTTACCTTGCTTGTGTCCAACTGACTAATTTTATCCCAAATTATTGTTTCTAGAAACTTCCACACCACAAGGTTACACTGAGTGGCCTGTAGTTGCCAGGCTTATCTTTACATTAGTTACGTTTGCAATTCTCCAGTCCTTTGAAGCAACTCATGAGTAAATACTGTAAAATTATTGTCTATGTCTCTACAATTTCCACTCACTTCTCGCAGTTTCCTCGGAAGCATGTCATCCAATCCTGCTGTCATGTCTACCTTAAGTACAGAGGGCAGCCTACTGAAAACTTGCTTCTTAATAATGTAAACCTTTTAAGTGTCTGAATTATCTCCTCTTTCACCATGATCTGGGCAGAACCTTCTATTTCTAGATGCAAAATATTAGTCCAGTACTTCAACTACAGCCCTTCCTCCATTTATAAATCCGTTACTGGTCCATAATCGGCCCTAGTGATAGCACATTTTTGCTATTTATATTTCTAATTAAAACATGCAAAATTTTCAAAATTCATTCAATTGTATGGAAATTGCCCACAACAATAATTAAAGAAAATAGCCTGATGCCTGGTGGCACAAACAGTGAGCTTATTTGCTATTGTGGATTGAAGTCATATAGCAACCTCTGGCAACTGCACATACACGTCAAAATATTGCAATTTGGAAGCTAAAGACAAAATTCCATGCTCCTCCACAAGATCTGATTTAATAACACTACATGTAAATGACTCAATATTGTAATACATAGAAGGATGTGAAGTGGTGGTACTTTGCTTGTAAATAGGGAAGAAAAAATTATCCACTCATTGCTACATTGCGTAAGCATTCATTGGACAACATGAGGTTTGGAACACTGCAGAAAATCCAAAACTAACCTTAAGTTTATGTTCATGTTCTTTAGTCACCCGTGAAAGCAGCTGTCCCTTCCTTCTGTTCAAAGCTTCAATGAGGGCATCACACTGGGCAACAAGACAAGCTTCAAACTCAACACTATTTTCCTGTATACAGTAAAGAAATACAAACCGATGGAGTCAGGCAAAGGTAAACAAAGTATAACAGAGGCCTGCTGGAAAAGGATTCATAGCAGAATCAGGCTAATACCCTTCATTATCCAAAACTGAACATAATCGAAGTTATACCAACATGTTGTAGGTGCTGGAGGTCTGAAATAAAAGCAAACAGATAAAGTCCCTCCAACACTTTCAGTTTCTACATCTTTGGAAGGTGCCAATGATGCAGCCCCAATGAGGTGCTGCATTGCGTCTCGTTGATGCTACACACTGCTGCTACTGTGTGTTGGTGGTGAAGAGAATAAATGTTGAAGGTAGTAATTGTGGTGCCAATCAAGCAGACTGCTTTGGGCTGGATGCTGTCAAACTTCTTGAGGGTTGTTGAAGCTACACCTACGCAGGCAAGTGGGGAGTATTCGATCATACTCCTGACTTGTACCTTGTAAATGAAGCATGGGCATGGAGGAGACAGGAGCCATACCCTCATTTTTTCAGTAAATAATGATGGTTATATTGTCAGTGTACAGCATTAATACTCCTTCAAAGCTGACAGCCATTTCTGGAGTCTGTATGTGACTTGGAAAAATTGAATTCCTGATGTTGCAGTTAGTGATTCACACTTCTCCATAGGGTGAGCAGCTAAACACTTACATACTGCAATCAAAAAGAAATCACTAAACTGAGGAGAATTTATGCTTTTATACTATTACGTCTCAATGGAAAGTTACACCTTGTAGCTGTTTTGTAAATGGCACATTAAGTTCATAAATACTACTAAACATCCTTACTGGACTCAAAGAAAACTCAAAATTTAAAAATCGAGCTTTAAAAAAATAATTTTTTGTAATTTGTGAAAATATTGCTTCTATCTTCAGCCCCGGAAATACCCTGATCATTTATTTTATTTCTTGTAAAATTTAATTAGAAGGTAAGAACAAATCAGGACATTGTGCCAACAAGGTGCAGGGCTGGATGAACACAGCAGGCCAAGCAGCATCATAGGAGCAGAGAGGCTGACGTTTCGGGCCTAGACCCTTCATCAGAAAAGGGGGAGGGGAAGGGGGTTTTGAAATAAATAGGGAGAGAGTGGGAGGCGGATAGAAGAGGGATAGAGGAGAGGATAGGTGGAGAGGAAACAAACAGGTCGAAGAGGCGGGGATGGAGCCAGTAAAGGTGAGTGTAGGTAGGGAGTTAGGAAGGGGATAGGTCAGTCCAGGGAGGACGGACAGGTCAAGGGGGCGGGATGAGGTTGGTAGGTAGGAGATGGAGGTGCGGCTTGAGGTGGGAGGAGGGGATAGGTGGAGGAAGAACAGGTTAGGGAGGCAGGGACGAGCTGGACTGGTTTTGGGATGCGGTAGGGGGAGGGGAGATTTTGAAACTTGTGAAATCCACATTGATACCATTGGGCTGCAGGGTTCCCAAGCGGAATATGAGTTGCTGTTCCTGCAACCTTCGGGTGGCATCGTTCTGGCACTGCAGGAGGCCCAGGATGGACATGTCGTCTGAGGAATGGGAGGGGGAGTTGAAATGGTTCGCGACTGGGAGGTGCAGTTGTTTATTGCGAACCGAGCGTAGATGTTCTGCAAAGCGGTCCCCGAGTCTCCGCTTGGTTTCCCCGATGTA